TTATTTTCTGGTAGCTGGATATTTATAGCTGCAGTTTTCTACTATTTTTAGGTTGACTCAAGAGGGAATATCCTTTGCTAATCTAAGTAATAGCTAAATGAACTAAATCATGTTTAAAGCCATATCACACTTTCTCAGTCTAGGCTTTCAGCACCTGCCACCTATTATAGTAAAAGAAGCAAAGCAGCCTAACTAAAGTAACCACAAACCGTGGGGGAAAGGCAGAAGGGAAGGGGTGTTAAACCAGCCTACATCTGCTATTTCCACCATGGGCAACATCATTCAACACATCAAGGAAAAAGAAAGCAGGGATGTAACTCTTCACAAGGCCACCATGAGATTAAAAGAACTTCACAATGGAATGGACTGGTTAAAAAAAGCTTTTCCTCCAACACAGTCCTTGTTCCCTGATCTTACTCCCGCTAAAGTAGAAACACACAGCCAAAAGCATTCATGTCGCTGACAAACTTACTTACACGAGGGGTTTAGAGTAAGAGTTGGAGCTGGTAGAAAACAAATACAAAGCCCATTTGATGGTGGAAGTGGCACTTCACACATACTCTTTCAGAGGAAGGAAAAATAAAGGACAGCCTATTGGCTCTACTTTTGTACATCTCACTCTCCCTCAGGCATTTACTTTCCAGGTGTCCTTCATGGTTGCTCATGGTATTAAAAGCGCTGTGCAGATTCTTTGCCTGGCAAATGCTAGCCCGGGAGAGCATTAACTTCTACCTCTTGGTAGAAGTAGAAGCCCTGAAGCCCTTTCTACTGCCCTATCCTAAACTCCTAAATAAAACATCAACATCATTACTTATCAGCCCAATACTAGTACCGGTGCTAAATAATACCTATTTCATGGCTATAACTTTGCTGTTTTCTTACCCCTTCTGTTTTGCTAGGTCCATTTTGTTGACTAGAGTCCACTGTGACACTAAGTTCTTTGAAAGTAATTCTGCTTGGAGGATTTTAGTCCAAGAACTTAATTATATTTTTTGCTATACTCCCAGATTGCAATGAGCAAGAGGATGCATAGTACAATGGACTCTAGTCAACAAAGGGTAAAGCAAGCTGCCAGATCAAGACTGCAGAGAAGTGAAATAGTAATTTGGGCAACCCAGCTAAGTTTCTTGCACTGTTCTGCTACCAATGTATTACCTGATCCTGGCTTAGCCCTGCTATTCCCCCTTGGAGCTCGTGTTTTCCATAGCCCTCCTCACCAAGAACTGGGAGAGGATATTAGGGGTGGATGAAGAGCAAGTTGAGAGCCTATGGGGAAGGATTAAAGGGCAGGCTAACATGGGCGACACTGTTGTGGGGGTTTACTGCAGGCCACCTGATCAGGAAGAAGTCGTCGATGAGGCCTTCTACAGACAGCGGGAAGTAGCCTCACGATCACAGGCCCTGGTTCTCATGGGGGACTTCAACCACCCTGACATCTGCTGGGAAGACAGCACAGCTAGGCACAAACAGTCAGAGAGGTTCCTGCAGAGCATGGATGATAATTTCTTGACCCAGGTGCTGGAGACGCCAACGAGGAGAGGTGCAATGCTAGACCTTGTACTAGCAAACAAAGAAGGTCGAGTTGGAGATGTGAAGGTTGGGGGCAGCCTTGGCTGCAGTGACCGTGAGATGGTGGAGTTCAGGATCCTACAAGGAGGGAGCAGGGCAATGAGTAGGAGTGCAAGGCTGGACTTCAGGAGAGCTCACTTTGGCCTCTTCAGGGACCTACTTAGGGGAATCTCATGGGGTAGGGCCCTAGAAGGAGGAGGGGGCCCAAGAAAGCTGGTTAATATTCAAGCATCACCTCCTCCAGGCTCAAGATCAGTGCATCCCTCTGAGGAAGAAGTCCAGCAAAGCGGGCAGGAGACCTGCATGGATGAGCAAGGAACTCCTGGCAAAACTCCAGCAGAAGAAGGAAGTGTACAGAATATGGAAAAGGGGACAGGCCACTTGGGAGGAATACAGGGACGTTGTCAGAGCGTGCAGGGATGTGACAAGGAAGGCTAAGGCCCAATTGGAATTAAATCTGGCAAGAGATGTCAAGGACAACAAGAAGGGGTAACATTGTAACCCTTCTTCCTCAGTTCTAAGTAATGAGAAACAAAGGGAGGCTTAGAAAATCTTTCAGATGTGTGCCAACATTGCAAATAAGTTATTTAGCTTTTCTACATTTGAAGGAAGTGCACTTCGCATGACTGACAGTCTTTCAGACTCCTTTTGCAGCTCTTAGTTTTCTTATCATATCCTACTATTACTTTTTTTTAAGTCTCCTCCCAATCCAATTGCTGAAAACAAAACATTAGAACCACTGTGGGCATACCCCATTCCAGACTTCCTTCAAAGCAGAGATAAGACCAGCACACCTTGCAAGACATGCAGGAACTGTGCAGATTTAATGAGTGAAACTTCTTCCCACAGGTACAACATTTTCATGGTGAAGGGCCTCCTTCAACCCCATTTTAATCTCATGGGACTATAATGGAGAAACCTCCCCGGCAGTGTCTTGCTAAGGAAGGAAAGCGTCCTTCCCCCAAAGAAGGGTCTATATAGGAGGGTCAAATTAAGTCACAACCCAATTTAAAAAAAACTCAACCAACCAAACAAAAATAGACTCCAAATACTTAACCTCATAGAACATGTGTACCCAATGCTCTATCACTTCATAATTCAAACGTATTCTGAACTGGACCTGAGAGACAGTTCCATCAAGTGCACAGGATTGCTACTGTAGGCTTAGATGCCTTTTGCAAGAGTTTAACTCTGGATACCACGTGGGCACTATCAGAACAAAAATTAAGAATTCAGTGTCGCAGACTGGAGACGGCTAACGAGGATAATCTGCCCTTTGATGTTACTGGATTTGTACAACAGAAACGTTCCCTAACCACTAGGAGCCAGCACAAATCACTGTGTGAAGAGAAGGGTTCATGAACCCTTATATGCCTCTTTCCCCACACCTACAACAGCTCAATCGTTTGTAGTGGCTTGTGAATTTTGCCAGAAGCAAAGTCATGAGCTATCTCCTTTAAGGCATTCTGCAGGTATCCTTAGGGCATCATCAAGCATTATAGCTTCAGAAGGAATGACTCTAGGTGTTGGGTAGCTCTAACCGAACGTCTATAGCACAAAGGGATACAATTTTAAATGTAGTTCTTTGTACAGGGGGAAAGGAACACACAGAATGGACCTGCTTCCAAGTCAGACATTGATTGCTTTCATAAAGTACTCTCTCTCATTGCCTATAACATAGCACAATCTAACGCGAAACCACACACCCCCTCCTAACAGAGGGTAGCACCACAATGCTGGGATTGTACCCAGCTTCCTCTACAAAGCCTATTTCTGTTCTACTGCAGTGGAGTGAGACAACTAATTTGACCTGGAAAGCAGCCTACTTGTTTGAAGACAAGGGAGAGGATTTCTGTAAAGCGTGGTGTATTTTCTTCAGTCTAGTCTTGATTTACAAGTCATTAAAAATTACCTTGATTTTAAGCAGGGATTTTTCCAATGTTTTTTCTGATTTCCTCCCTCAAAAGCCAGCTCTGTCCCTTCAGGCTTACTGTACAGCCTCAGAGGGCCTTCTGTTTCCAGCAGGATTTGTGCTGGCAGAGCACATGAAAAGCAGCCTTGATGGTGGGTGGCTTTCTGCTGTGAAGTGTAACACCAACCTCTGCCTTCCTCTGGCACTCACACCTGCTCCATATAATTCACATCATGCTTTTAAAAAGAGTTAGAAAAACCCTTTGATACAAGTTCATCAAGGTCTTATTCAGCCAGAGGGATACATATCATTTACTCAGAGTGAACCTGCCAAGAGGCCAGTCTGCTTAATACAATGGGCTGCAGTTTTGCATCAGTGGATTTTAGCTGAGAACCAAACAGGTGTAACAAATCAGTCAAAATATACCCACCACATCAAACACAGACACCTCCTGAATAATAACAGGTCATGAGAACCTTATAAAGCTCTCTATTTGTGTCTTACTGAATGCAGTAGATACATGTACACAGCAGGTTATTGCATTTCAGCCAGAAAAGAAAAAAAAGTAAAGAAGAAGAAAGGGCCTGGTTTGATTCTTCTTCCACTGAAGTCAAAAAGAGTTTTGCTTCAAAGCAGTATGACCCCTACTAACATAGAAGGATTTATTTATTACTTTCTTTCCTTCCTTCCTGCCTTCTACCCCACCTCATCACCACCCCATCAGCTGCTCTTAAGATCAGTAAAATGCAGCAGGTCAGTTTAGGGAGGGAGCAGAGTAGGAGGCAGACCAAAATAAAAGGAAGAAAAGCAAGTATTAATATATTTTTCCAGCAGTCATTTTAGGTGTATCACCCTAAAATTAGTTTACAACTAATACTGAAGCAGGATGACAGGATTTTGACCCATATGTTCTGTGAATGTAAAATAAAACAAGTTTATACACATTTAAAGATTCTTAAAGTATCAGGTAGAAATTGATGCAAGTAATAATTTGAATAAGGATCAAATTCAATTCTGAATAATACATGATGTAACACAGTAGATTTCTATAGGTTCTTCAGAGAAGAAGATGCCCCAGTACTTTTGCATTTGCCATGTACAACGCCTCTAGACTTGTAAGCTTTTTCTCTTCCTAAAAGATGCTTGCCTCATTCAATTAGCAGATGTTGCACACTGCATGATCACACCTAATATACAGTCAAGACCTGCTTCAAATCATGTATGTCCAAAGAGGCCCAAACTAAAACAAGCATTTCTTAACTCTGGAGTTCTTAGCTTTCAAGCTTCCTGACGTTATTTTAAGAAATAAATTGTGATTTCTTAGAAAGTGGGGGCAAGGGAGAAGGAGGAGAAGCATAAACTTTTCTCTCCCCCTACCCCTATCTTGAATCATGCCCTCTGAATATTTTTGTGGCTTTTCTGTCTTTCTTCTGTAAGAACCTCACTATATTTTGGTCCAAATGTCTTTACTTAGTGAATTTAAGCACTTCTTCACGAATTCTCAGTTCCTCTTTCCCACCTTATCTTCTCCAGCAGCTTACAACTCCAGATTTCAAAGGGGTCACCAGATTTTCTCCTCATGTGAACAAGATTCTCTTTTGCCTCCTCCTCCTCCCCCATATCAGCAATTTCTCAGTCTTTCTGGTTGGCATATTTCTAAATAAATGAAGGCGTTTCCAAAACCAAGCCTAAGGCATGTGTGCCCTGCCACAGGGAACATTTGGGCAAAAAGCTGATCTGATAAAAGATATTATCATTTCTCAACCAAACACAGACAGCAGAATAAAGGTGCTTATTGAGGAGCAGTCTTAGCAGTAACTGCTGCTGTTTATTAATCATGCCTGTAATTACACTAGTCAATAAGAAACAAGCTAGTTGTGCTCAGCTAATTTCCCGTTGACGTATGGGAACATAACCAGCTGGCTGAAAAGAGCCCTTTCTCTCTGACAAACATTCAGTAATGGATTTGTTGCACCTAAAGCAAAGCTTTCTTCAGGACTCATTTTAAAAAAGTGCCAATCAGTTGTCCACACCCCAGTGATCTGCGTAATTGCGTTCATGACATAATAACACCATGTTATGAGGGAAGTGGCAGATGGTAGTTATTGTTTTTAGAAAAAAAGCACACATGCATATCATACTTATATTCAGGGTATTGCTGTTGAAAACATCACTTCTTTAATTTAGTAGAGGATATTGAAGTTTGCTTTAAAAATATACTCCATGAGAAGAGTGGCAGGTGAGTTAACAAGCTCACCTGCTGTTTTACCTAAAACCGCTGTCTAGAAAGAGGTTGTGTATTAGTGATGTAATTTGTTTCATAGCAGAGGGCATAAACACTGAGGAAGGTGGTACGGCTCTGAGGAGAGGACATGACTCCAAGGCACTCAGGAAAGGGAAAGATTGTCTCTTTATAAGGAACAGCTGCCGAATATCAAAGGGAGAGAGACGAAATGCAGCCTCATCATGCGGGTTTATTTACAATAGCCATAGTGAAGGTAGACCTCAGTTGTAAGTAGCCCATGAAAGACACATAGATTTTGAGGTTGCGTTTGGGCATTCAAAAAGGGACTTCTGAGAGGAAAGCAACCATCTTACTAGGTCCGTATCGTGAGCTGAAATTGCACAACTTACCTTACGCTTATCCTTGCTCCTCAGGTTACAGCAACCTGCCTGATGGACTGTGTTTTCTTCATAGGCCCAACCAGATGTGCCAGAGCCTCCTTTCTGGGGCTTGTGACGAAGGTGAAAAAGCAGTAAGTTCAGACTGCTCCTTCTGAACAGTATTTTGCCATGTTCCATAGGGTACATGACATAATTGTGTTAAATATATCAGTCTGCAGGCCCTTTTTGTTCCCTGATGATGCAGATGGGTCTGCTCATCCACAATTTCTGACTCATTTCTTTTTTCCTTCAGCCTCAATGGGTGGGACTTTACACTCTCTGAGATTGTTTCCATCTCTCCCAGTCTGGATTCCTCCTTCCCTCACCCATAGCAGCTGGGTGATGGAGGCACTCTCCCCAGTGCTGTCTGAAGCAAGTTTTCAAGGATTCAGCACTTGCTTGTCTTGGTGGCGATGAGTTTCAATAGCTGCTTTCAGTGACTACTTGTTTACAAATACACAAAAATGATACGGGGCTGGAGGAATTATTCATATTCCAGTAGCAGATGATGTAATATTAGTCAAAGTGATAGAGGAAAACAGTGTAAAAGCATATATTAAGTAATACCAGTTTGAGAAAGTCTTGAGGAAGATATCAAGAGAGTTAATGAACTTGACCCTTTAGGTAGCAAGAAGATCACAGAACAAGTTTTCTGCCCTGGGTATTTAAGATGTAATTACTGTTACAATTTCAGCTATGTATCGCAATACAGGATCAGTGTTAGATTCCTGCCATGAGATGAACAAAAATAATTCAGAAGACTGGAAGCAGAGAAGATGGCAATGTGAAGATTATCCGTTTACATTTCTTTCAATGATGCAGATGTAACAGAGTAACATATAACACTTTGTTTATGAAAACACCACAGTCTGATGCTACATCTGCTATGCACAGGCAACAAGTGTTTCCTTCTCGTTATGCAGGCTGTTGCTTGTGACTAGCAGTTGTTTTGGTGTGGAATAGGGCTGTTTGCAAAAGATTTTGCTCAATTTAAAACTTTGGAATTTGGCCTTTAAAGTCTGTGTGTTTGTATAACGGACCCAAAAATTGGGTCTGAATTAATGCAAGCTTTTTTAAAGACTCAGTAGGCTTTTTTTTGGTCCATTTATAGACTGAACAATCTACTGAATACTAGCATTATATAAATACATACATACATAAACTTTAATATCCCTGGAGTAAAGATGGTCTTAGAACGGGTATTTAAGCATCACATAGAGAGGGCTAGTCTTTTCAGTGTGTGTGTATACCTTTATAATTATACATGTAACTACTTTAAGCCAGGAAAAGTTGTAACAAGACAACTATATTCTCCAGAGGAGTGAGAGAAATGAATTTAAATGTCCTTGGGCACAAAAGCGATTTGAATATCTTTATCTCCTCCTTCCAAAATAAGCGGCTAAAAACCAGCCACGATCAGTTCATGTAGAGCTCTGATACGTTTTCTAATCATCCGACAGAGGTTCTGATTATGCCTCGCAGGTGAGATACCAAAAAGAGGTAGAGGAATTTGAGAGCCCCTGAGAACACGCAACCGCTGCGGCCCAGAGTTAGGTTTCCACTTCCCCTAGAACAGCAGAGAGGTTTGGGGAAACTATATTTGGACAGAAGCACCTAAAACGGCGATTATGTAACCGAATCCTTTTGAGAAAAAAATCTGTTGTCTTTCATCTTATTGACACCTGTTTCCTCACAGTTAGGCAGATGCTTGCTAAATTAGGATGTGAATAAAACTCGAAACATTTTAGTTACCTCGATTTGGTTTTTAAGAAGGGAGGATGGACAGAACGTGCCCTGTTTTATTAAACAATTAAAAAAAAAAAAAAAGGAAGCAGCTTTGCATTCAGCAGTATCCTGTGCTCGATTTGGCTCACTTCTATTTCTTCTCAGATAATTACTTGCTTGAACTGCCAAAAAAAACTACTCTGATGGACGGCTCTAAGGCAAAGGCCATGCTCTGTCCACTTGGATTGCTAATGAGCAGCAAGAGGCTGGTGAGTGCATGACAGGAGCAGTGTCTTTGCTGGCAGAAATGTAAACCCAGCCAGATAAGACTCTGCACCCTACTCTCTGATACTAAAATAAGACACTGGCACTTTAAATATTATTTGTAAGGCAAAAAACAGCAGTGGGAGTTCACTGGGAACAGACTAGCTGTGCAAACACTTCAGCTGCACTGAGAGAGAAGAAAATGAGGGAGAAGAAACTGGAAAAAACAGCCATGCTACATCTGACATGGCTAATGACAACTATTCATGGTACATCAGAAGTTAGATATTTGGTTTCTCTGTCTCTTTGCCAACAACTCAGGGATCAGATCACTGCCACTCAGCTGTGAAACGGTGGTAGTGCTATGACAGCATTAGAAGCCAGGGTAGGTACAACAGTTGGGTCTGGCTCCAGGAGTCATGAATGAACATACCGCCTCTGCTGCAGTACTCGTCACCCAGGGTCTGTGGGTGTAAGCGTATAATTACTTGCCTTTTTTCATTTTGAGAATGAATGCCACTGTGTCAAGAGTGGTACCTGTCATCCCTGGCAGGTATGATCTCATTGTTTTCTGTTAGAGGAAACCAGGCGGAAGAGGACAAGGATGGAAGTGGGGCTTAAGAACTCTAAAGTCGCTAAAAAAAAAGAGACTAACTCCACCTGAGCTGAAATCTGATATTAGCTACTTAATTTAGGTAAATGGAGAAAAGAAAATTCAAATCATTTGCTTAGAAGTACAGTGCAATCATTTACTACTACAAAAATCAAGTATTTTAGACATCACCCAACCAAAGCAGCCCGTGACATCAGCTCTGTTTTTCATCAGCTCTAGAAAAAGTTGTAGGCTATAAGGGATCATTAGCTATAAGGGATATGTGTGGGTTTTGTTTTTTTAAGTTTTTTTAAGTCGTATATCAAGGACTGTTGGGAATAGAACTGGTACTAAATCTATTTAATATTCAGGGAATAAAATTTACTACAGGGGAGGGGAGAAAGAAAAAGGAGGTAATTTCTCTTACACCACCATGCTGAAGACACTTAGAGCTGTCCAGACTTCTCCCTCCATTGCCAAATGGAAAGAGAGAAACTGCATCTCCCTCTGGAAGAGCCAATTCACTTTTTCCCTCAGCTGACCTTAAAGAGAGCCTAGAGAGACAAAACAGGGATGGAAGAATTCAGACTCAAAGCCTAAACAGAATGCAGCTTTCCAAAGAGCCCCAAGAGCCACGTGGTGCCAAAAGCCACACTGACAATAGTGGTAACTCCGAGTGTCCCAAGCCAGCTTTTTTATGTTTTCTTCCTCCTCCTTTCCTCCCCCGCAGAAACAAACTATGTGTAATCTTTTGGGAGCTATTTTCTATCATGTTCCTGAGCTTTAAGAAATTTAGATTTTCAAGCCTTTATCTACAACTGCAGTAGCCAGGAACTCAGACAAAATATTCTGGAACCGTGAAATAACTGGATTAAAGTGTAGCTTTGAGCGTTAGTCCAAAAAAAGTAGCAAGTTATTACACTGTATAATCCGTAATGAAATCATGATAGCATAAAGATAATATCTGTTTCATTAGTGATACAATAATAATAATAAAAAAGCCACCTTATTGAATCACTAACCTCATTTAAGTTATAGCTGTCTGTTTTCATAGAAGATTTCAGTTTGAGTACTGGCTGAGATCACAATCTGTCTGTGTACAAGGTTTTGAATCAATTCATTAGAAAGCATGAGGAGGATGTAACTGAGGTTTGTTTCTTGCAAGAGGTTTCGAAATAATATGACATATTTTTTTCAGAATCTAGAATAGGAATATTCCTAAAAGAAGAGCTATGGGAGAAAAAAAAGCTGCTAAAGGACAGAGTTTGCAGCTTATTTTATCAAGGAAGTAACCATGAACAAAATGATCTCAGCATACTTGAATTTCAGTTACCTTTGCTTGTAGTACTTAGCTCATGAATCCTACGTGCCAAAT